GTTTTGTGCAGAAATCAAATAACTTTCAACGATTTTAGTTCAAAAGTCACAACATAGAGCCATAAAGAAATAACCACAGGAAATAACTACAATGAGACAGGATAGTAAAACGCTTTATTTACAGTCCGCTCACTGCCACGTCTACCTGTAGATCTCCTCTTGTCTGAATAGGAAGGTTTCTTCAGCTCCTGATTTAACAAACTTATTTGGTTTGAGGATATCCGGAACTGTGGACAAGACCAATTTGAGTGTACTTGAACTCAGCTGTAAGCTGTGAGCTGGCTGCGCCAGTTAAGTTTTGGGAGTGGTGAAGCTTTTTAAAAACTACAAATCTATCTCAATGACATTTAATAACTATTACATTACAGTAATGTATTAAAATTAATTCAGTGCAATACTGACTTCCTTAACTACGTGATTACATTACTATGATGAGAACGAATCTTATTCTAAATGCAAGGGCTTTTATAGGATGGTCAAAAAAAGTCAAACACATCAAAAGTTCTAAATAATAAATTAATATTTTTATGTTTATCATTCAGTTACAAAATATGAATATAGTACTTAATTATTTTATTTATTTCATTACAGGTTACATTGATGAAGAAAATAGTATCAAAGAAGAGAAAATTGGTTAAAATTTTGACAAAGATTGCAACTAAAACTTTAGGTGACTCAGTTTCTCAGACTTGTTAAAGCCCAATGCCTGTCAAGAAATAAAGACCTATCGGAAATTTTGAAAAAAAAATGGTATAAATTACATTTTTTTTACTAATATCTTTGCTAATACTAGGTAAATCAGGTATAGAATTACAATTTATTACTATATCAAATTAATGTTTTGTACAGAGAAATCCTATGCAGATGGAACTTAACTTTTCTAATTTAAATTGTACCTAGATCTGGGAGTTATTCAAAATGTGAAATGGTTTACAAATTTTAGAAACAAAATTGTATTTCTTTATGGAATATTCTAAGCCACTTAAAATATACTATAAAATAATCTTCGACCTTAAAAAAATATTATGTAATAAATCACATAATTTACTTTTCATTACACATTGATATCAAAATAATGAAGCTTAAATAATAAGGATATGAATATACAAGTAGCACTTCCTTTGTGTTAATAGTTTTCCATCTAAAAAATGAGTAATGGTAAAAGATTGAAATTAACATTTTTCCTGTTTTCTTATAGATAAAACACAAAAATTCAGTTCTCCTAAAACTGATCACTTGATTAAATTCTCGAGAATTTTTTAGAAACATAATTTATAATTGTGTTCTTATTTGTTTTACTCCACGGTTGGTTTGATAATGTTAAAATTCCCTATGTGAATACCACTGTGTACTTCAATTTATATCTTCTCAACCAATATTCTTTTTATTTATTTATTTATTTTATTAAGAAAACCAACAGCCTTACAAATTGTATATCTTATAACTATGTGTAATGTAGTATTGCCAATAACAGGTTTCCCTTAAATTAACAAATGGCACTGTAACAATCAAACTTTGTTAGTGCTAAAATTAACTCTATAAATATACTAAGGAATTCAAGGATGCCATCCGCTTAAACCTATCAATATAATAGATAGTTAAGTAGATACTAAGCTAAACTGTACACCACACAAAACAAGTCAGGTAAAGAAATACAATATACATGTTTGTGAAAGTAATATATAAGTACCACACATTATAGACGTAGACAGAGATAATGATAGAAGGCAAAGACGAATAAGAAAAGTAAAGGTTAAAGTACAACTTTTGTTTATATCACTTAAAATTTGTGAGAGTTTATGATGATACCTGTCACCTTCTTTTTGAAAGTTAACCTGAGTAAAAAAAAGTAATCTCTGTCATCAATTTTTTAAGCGGTAGAGCCATGCTGCAGCTATATTAGTGGTTTAGTTGTAGCACGAATGGTTCGTGCTACAACTAAACCAATGGACCACGCTTTCACAGAATACCAGCGTAAAATAGCAGCTTAATGCTGTTGTTTCGTATGGTGGGTGTAGAGAACAGGAGACCCTTTTTACTGGAAATGAGGCATTCCATTTTAGTTCTCACGGGTGACAACGCATCTGCATTTTGATTAGTAATCAAGGATAGATATAAATATCTATGGGCCACAGCAACCACCTTCCATCAGGTGGACTGTGTGCTCGTTTGTCACCCTTATCCTATTAAAAAGGAATCCTCTTTTCTCGTCTCAAGTCTTCTTAGCTGTCTCTTTGCCTCATTATTTTATATTTTTTACTTTATTTTATAAATATTTATTTACAACTTGTTCCCAAAACTTTTTATGGCACTATGTAATATTTTCCTCATTTTGGTAAGTTTGGTATTTATTAGGTCTTATATTTATTATGAGTTTATTACTATCGGTGGCCAGCTCGCCTCTCAAGGTCGCCATGTAATGACGTTATTAAATGAGACAACCTGTATCTGCCAAGTGCTGTTTAGTACTACATTAAATTTATAATTGATATTATATTAGTGGATACCGTGAGCCACACTACAATTGTATAAAGGTTAACAAAGTCTGTTGTAAGCAAATAGGAAATGTCTTTTGGTGAAATACTTGCAGGTGCAATAGCTATAAAAGTAATTAAATTAAAAATATTTTTTTTTCAGATTATTTTCATTATGCAAACTCTGACGCAACAATGGCCTCAACAGCAGAAGTTGTTGAATTTTTCGACACACTGACAATGTCAATGGCTACCCGGTTGATGTGCAAAGAGGAAAGTTAAGACAAGTGGTTAAACAAAATTTACAACATCACACTTTTTGGATTGTAGCCATTAACAAAATTAAAAAAAATGGTTTTTATAGACACCATGCTATATACTAGCAAACATGCTATCCAAGTAGGAAAACCTCGACTTGTGCGAGGGTCATCCCAACAAGGAAGGATAACTTGTTACTGTAAACTTGTTGATAATTATTATTTGAACAGTATAATGTAGAATATTATTATCACAAAAATATTAGCCAAGACCCTTTAGAAATTTATTTTTGAATGTATAATAGTTATAGATTATAGAAATGTTGACCTAGATGCAAACATATTTATATATGCCTTTAAATATCTGATATTATCTAACATGGTTAGTCCACATTTGAAATTCTCTAATTGCGAAGAGGATTATGGAGACACATTATTAAATGTTAGCGGTCTTTTCAAAAATGTTCATAATAATAAAGAAAATTACTCTGAAAACACTCCTAATGTTTTGCTAGCTCTCCTGTCCTCTTCACAAGCAACTTCAAGAGAAAAATTGCTTGTGGGTGATGTAGTCATGGAAAAAATTGAATACCACTGCTCAGCTTATACTGCTGGATACATTTGTCGGAAAATATCGAAAGGTATTCCTTGTAAGGATTGCATCAAAACAGCAGTACAGAGACAAATATTCACTCTTACATAAAATCTTTTTTTTTATATAGGATAGGGTGACAAACGAGCACACAGTCCACCTGATGGGAAGTGGTTACTGTGACCCATAGACATCTACATCTATCCTCAATAAAGACTCAAGATGCAGATGCGTTGTCACCCGTGAGGACTAAGATGGAATGCCTCTTTGCCAGTAAAAGGGGTCTCCGGTTCTCTACACTCAACATACGAAACACAGCAGCGTTAAGCTGCTATTTTACGCTGGTTTTCTGTGAGAGCGTGGTCCTTCCCCGGTCGAGCCGACCCATTCGTGCTACAACTATACTACTAATATAGCTGCAGCATGGCTCTACCACGTAAAGAGCATAAATTGTTGAAAAATAATAATTTGGCACACCCTACCGAAAAATTACTTATCTTGTAAAGGGATGATACTCACTTTATTCATAAGTATTTGAATTATAGCTGTATCAGAAGTAATGTTAAAAGTAAAATATTGAGCACTTTGAGTTTTTCCTGGCTAAGATATAATAAGCATGCTTTCATTGTAAAAAAACTTTCATCAATATATTAATAAGGTTACATGGGCACAATTGGTATATAAAATTGGCAATAATAAAATATTGAAATTTTGTAACTGAATCTTTAGGTGACTAAGCCTCACAAAAGCTTGCTTATTGTCCAATCTCTGTCAAAATATAGAGAAGTTGAATGTTAAACAAATAACTTTATTATTAATGTAATTAAAACAATTTAAAAAATGGCCAGGTTTACCCTAAATGAAAAATTAATAGGATGTCTACTAATGAAACAAAGCTCCAAACACTACAAACTTAGAAAAAATGTTTGTCTTGCCTAACAAACAAATGTTATATAGACCAAATAATAATTTGGCATACCCTAGCGAAAAGTTCTTTATCTTATACAGGGAAGGTACTCTTTTAATTCATAACCATTTGAATTGTAGCTGTTTTAAAATTAATATAAAAAGTAACTTGTAAAGTAAAATATTACTTACACTATGATTAAATCGACACCTGCAAGGAAAAACATCGTAACTCACTTTTTAGCGATTTTGAGTTACAATCATATTCTTAGTAAACAAAAAATTCTCTTTCATTTGCGCTCACCCCTGTATCTAAATTCATACTCGTTACGATTTTAGGCAGTAGAAAAATGTTGTAAGTCAGTGTCCACTGAAGATGATAAAAAGGTATATTTAGTTACACATAATTACCTATGCCTGACATTAATTTATTTCATAACAAAAATTGTAACACAAAACACCCTCTTGTTCTTGGCAATTTTTTTTCTTGTATTAAAAAAGCTTTCATCGTAACCTTAGTAACGATGTTTTAACCTTTAAAGAGAAAATAAAAATATCACTCTAAAGACTACAAACATAACTTATTTCAAGTTACGCCCCTCGCACGCGTTGTTGTGTACAAGTTACGACGAGTTTTGCCGGAACTTGCATACAATATTGGATTGTTTAAATATGAGAAAATAGTAAATAGTAATATAGTTATTCTGAGTATTTGAAATGAGTCGCCGTAGTAAGATAATCGCGTTAGATTTAGCTAAAAGTGAAATTACGGACAGTAACGCAGGTTAGTAAATGATCATTATTTTTAAGTATTTACCTATCATCCACTTATTGTCATATCATCTTATTTGCGATTTGGAATAAGTACTATGATATTCATACGAACAGAATTAATACAAGTACAAACTACAATTAGATGATTTCGTTTTTAGAAGACGAACATTTGAACAATCATCATAATAATGACGTCGAGAATAATGTAACACTGGAAAGGAGGATGTCACCAACTTTGGTCGAGACAGGTGAGTGTTGTATATTATGATAATGAAGTCTATTAAAATTACGTATGAACCTATACTAAGTAGTACGTAAGTTAGATTTGTGTTAATTTAAGTTACACAGTTAATGTGGATGTTATGGTTTTATTTCTAGGGAATGATTTACTAAATTTTAAATATAACCTAAGACAACGCACTCCGGTAAAAATACAGAATGATCAAATTTCAATCTCCAATGAATCCGAAGATATATAAACCGAAGATATATAATCCGAAGGTATATATATATATAAAGTACTCACCAGTCGTTTCAGAATATTTACCACCACAAGAAAACGGTAGGTATTTTTTATTATATTCAGTAACGTAAATATAAAAAAAGTTCATGTATATGGTACAACCAAATAAATCCTGATCTGCAATAGGTCAAATTTTGACCGATTGTGTAGGTATCACGTTATGTTTACTTTGAACTTAAAATTTATAATTAAATTTTCGATCAATAAAAAAACTAGTTATTAAAATTGAATTTCACGTATTTTCAGCTCCTTCTGTTTTAACACCTGATACCGATACAGAATCAATAAATGATGAACTTAAAGAAAATTACAATAATGAACAAATAGAGGATATTTTGTGTGAAATTGGTAAGTTTACCTACTGGAATACTATAACAACATTAAACTAATGTTATAAAAATGTTTATATTTATTTTTAAAACCGATTTAATAATGTATGTTGTATGTATTTTTAGTGCAAAACCAAGAACTTAGTAATGCAATAGAACCTGAAATACGAGCCTATGAAGAACAAAGTGATTTAATAGGGAATGGAAGTCAAATTAACGAAGAAGAGCCTAGAATTTTATCACATATTAATACTAAAGAAAAAAAAGAAAAAACCGAAGAAAGTTAACCCTGGAAGAAAAAAATTTTTAAATAATGAAAATTGGAAGGCAGAAATACGTAAAAGAAAGAAAAATTTGGGCGAGGAATTTATAAATAGAAAAGGACACTTAATAGCGAAAAATGTTATGAAACCAGACTTTGGTGCTAATTGTTCACGTAAATGTCGAGAAGCAATCACAGAAAACCAGAGATGTTTAGTATTTAAAAACTTCTGGGGACTGTTTTACTGGGGATTATTTTATAAATTTACCTCATCCGAAAGCAACTCTACCAAATAATATGACTGATTTTGATTAAGAAGTATTTTGATTTAAAAGTATTATGTATATTTTAGTAAGTATATAAATTACTATATTGTATGTATACTAAAAATTTAAAATATCTTACAGAAACAAATATTTGAAATTTGAAAAAGAAAATTATTTGATGTTAATCAATGACATTTTTTTGAATAATTCTTTTTGCTTAAATTTCAAATGTTTGTTTCTTAAATATACCTATTTTAGAATTTTTTATTGATTGCATTGCTTGAATTTTTCAGATCTGATTTTAGTAGTTAATAAACTGATTTTAGATATTAGAATACTTTCTGATGCCTTAATTTGTTATGTTTGTTTATATAAATATTTAAAAATTTGTTATTAATTGTGATATTCAGAATTTCATGGGCTTGACTATAATGCTTAACTTAAAGTTGATTGGATAGGTACCTATAACAGATCTCAAAAATGAAGCTTATACCAAAACACAAGAAAGAACGAACCAGAATTGGAAGAACGGTAATTTTTAATATTATATTTTCATAACTATGAAATACTTTGCGTTGGTGTGATAACATGATTTATCTTTTGCATTTTGAGATTATTATAATTAAAATTAATAAAGATTTTCCTAATTAATTAACCATGTTTTATTCTTATATTAACTCTAAAATACATAAAAATACATGTTAAGCATTGTATCTCAGACTTACAATGTTTTTAACTTAATGAAGTAAATATTAACACAAAAAGTAGAGTTGTATGTCTGAGTTACAATGTCATTTTATAAGGTTTATGTGATGTAATATGATTGTAACTCATAAAACATAATAAATTACATATATTAATAACATATCAATGATATGAAAGTGTAGATGTTCCTTTGTTGACTCAAATTTTCACGGTGAGATGGCGATAGGACTTAATAGAAAGACTTAAGAATTTTTTTAATCTTTGACGCGCTCTCCTGAAAAGTTGATAAAAATGAGTTACGATGTTTTTCCTTGCAGGTGTCGAAATATGATTCCTGTGGTTTAATTTCTTTAATTTGCTATTTGCTTTATCTAATGAACAATAAATATTGCTCTGTTTTCGTCAAATTCTGCCTATATACAATGTTATGTACATTTTTAATATAACCCAATGTACTTTTAATTTAATCCTAAGATTACGTGTGTATGTATATGATATTGGTGTGCTTGAATAAAAAATAAATGTTTATGTACCAAAATTGTTTCATTAAGTAATATTTTAATATAACTATATAATGCGTCGTTACGTTGATATCGATAAAATAAGAACATCGCTAAATATCGATATCGATGATTTGAAGGATGTGTGCTTGCAATCCCTAAGCTATATTTTTTATTTTATTTTATCACTCATCTGTCAAACTGGGCGACTGCAGCGCCAAAAGGCATAGTTGGGAAACTTGACTAAAAGTCACTGTCGTATCTGTAGCTTGCTACATATATATTTATCTATGGTTCTTATGACAGCAAAATACTGAAATCTCTAAAGTAATTTAATATTTGCATGCCAAAATGGTAGAATGTACGGATCTTCTATGTACTCTGTCAACACCTTATTGTTATTACCTACATTCAATGCAAATAAATCAATATTCTATACTATTCTATTCGTTTTTTCTTGTGAGTCATACGTTTCATAACCTCAACATTGAATTTAAAATTTTAAAAACAAATATCTATGTCATTGTCATGGTAGATTGTTGTTTTTATTATTCGCTAGAGAAAGCAGGCAAAGGAACTAAGCCATACAGCCTTGTCTTTTTTTATTTTTAATATATAGAATTTTAAGCTTCACAATATGTTGATGCGTCACATTGTGCAGCCCTTGGGAGATTTTCACGGCAACTTGAGCCAGCAGACAGCTGTCAGTTGGCGATGGTATCTAAAGGCGCCTATGCAGACAAACAGCTTATCTTGAGAATCCATCACCATTAGAGCACTTGTTTCACCGTTTCCACTAATAGTTCACATGCTTAGACAGTTAATACATAAAATTACATCACTTTTACATATCAAAATCCACTTCAAACTATTATTTAAACTATAATACAGGAGCAGTAAACCGCCGCCGGTCAAATTCCCGCCGAAACTCCCTGTCACGGTAGAATTAACATAAGCAAATTTATCTGTCAAACGGCAGCGAATCGAAACCAAAGAGTACAACTGTAACATTTTCTAGACAGAGTCCGTAAAATCGTGATTTGGTTCCACCAAAGTGGTGTTGGCGCTGAAGAATTACGACAAGCGCAAAAGCTTCAAAATGTTCCCGAAGGAAAATTGAAACATTTCATAGAGGACGTATCCAAAAGATGGAACTCGCAATTATATAATATGATAGAATGTTTCGTGTTAATGAGCAGCACTGTAGGATCTGTTTTGATAAATTACCTAAACGCGCCCCAAATGCTTAAAGCAAACGAAATTGTTGTGCTGAAAGAAATTGAAAAAATTTTAAAGCCTTTTCAAAATGTTACCGAAGAAATGAGTGCAGAAAAATATGTTACAGCTAGTAAAGCCATACCTATTATTAAATGTTTGAGAACTCTGTTAAATGGAATAACGCCAACGAGTGATTTGGCAAACCAACTAAAAAATTTCTTGCAAACAGAATTAAATAAAAGATTCGATAATATCCAAAAAGTGCACCTATTATAGGTTGCGTCGTTTTTGGATCCTAGATTCAAAAAAAATATATTTAGATGAGGCGGTATCCTTGTCAAAAACTATAAATTATATGAACAGGTGTTTGAGCTTGAACAACGGGAATAGGGTTGCCAGATGGTCGGGATTCGTCTGGATTCTCCCGACATTTTAAATGATCTCCAGACTCCCGAAAAAATTCGAAATCTCCAGACAAACGGCTTCTCGGAAAGTACTATACAAAATAATAATTTAAAATTGCCACGCGCGGTCACATTCTTCTTCGTCATGTCCCGACAATATGGCTATCTCTTTTGCCCACTGTAAACCATTTACTGTATTGTTAGTCTGCTGCAAAGCAGTATTTTATGTTGAATGGGGAAAACGAATGTCGAAAAGAGATATTTAACAAAAAGTAAAAACCATATTGATGATAATAATAGTGATCGGGTTGACGAATGCAAACAGGAAGGGGATTTCAGAAGCGTATTTATACTCTGTACTTTGTAACGTAATGTTGGAGTTCCAAGTAGGAATTTTAACATTGGAAAGTGCTCCATGCACTGTCCTATAACTTAACAGTGTAATGAAAAAACTAATGAGTCATCTCAAAAACAGGTTGGATGACAAATTCTTAGGTAGTAGAAAAATAACCTTATAAAGGAATGTTTCTGAATGTTTCCAATAGTGAGAAAATCCTTTATTGCGTCAAAGCTGAACATTTTTTAAAACGAGCTATTGAATACTTTTCTGAGAACTCTATATAAAAACTCACTGTATTGTCTTTACAAGGTTCAAATTTATTTACATGGGAAGAGTTATCCGTATTGCCTGACGTACTTAATATTTCAAACGATATTGACTTTGAAACACTTGAACTTCTTCCAAAAAACTAGGACATGTAAAATGACAAAATTTGGGCATTTTTTTAAATTTAACCAAAACGACCTAAAACTTGAAAAATAGTATATCATTTATGTTGCCGATTCCTATAAGCAATGCATACTGTAAATGGGTGGTTGGTTTGCTATATACGAGTAATTTATATACCAAAGAGAGGAATCTTTAGTAATTGAATTGTACTTATTTCAAGTAAATTGTTTGAATTTTAAATCAATTCTGAATACTACTAAACGACCTAAAGTGGGGGACTCAGTAAAGTCCAATGCCAAATACATGTGACAACCTAAAATTTAAGTGTAATTAAATTGGTTATATGTTAACAATGTTAAGCCTTTTTGTAGCCTATTAATTGAAAAAAAAAATATTTTACGTTATTATTTTTCATATTTATTTCTCCCGACTACAACCCCAAAATCCCGACATTTTCAAATTTTGTCCAGATATTTTGGCCTTCCGATCTGGCAACCCTAAACGGGAATGATGATAATCCAGTAGCGGCTAGTTCTGAATCATTTGTTTCATCAGGAGCGGCTGTCGATGGACAAGATATATGGCAGGTACACCATGAAAAAATAATGGCAGTCAACACGACAATAGCCAAAATACAGAACTGGACCTATATATTGCGGCACTGCTATCAAATCTCAAGGCAGATGCCCTCAATATATGAAGAAGCTCTGAAGGAACTTTCCTTAATCTAACCGAATTGGCTCTAAAACACCTCTCTGTGCCAGCCAAAAAAATATTTTCCAAAGCGGGAAATATTGTTAGGAAAACACGAAACTGTATTTTAGGAAAGAGACTACCAAAATTATTATTTTAAACTCTTTAACTGAAAATTTATGGCAATATTTTTTTTTTTACTTTCTTTTGTTTATACAACTTAAAAAAGATTTGTCTTGTATTTTAGTTTTGAGACCAAAAGGATGTCGTTTATTTATAATTATATTTTTATTTTATTTTCATTCTAGTCCAATGTAAAAGGTACGGAACATTAGTGGAACATTAGCAATAATTATTTATAGATTTTTGTTTAAACTTAAAGGTTAAAAAGAAGATTTATTTTGTATTTTAGTTTTGAGACGAAAAGGTTGTCGTTTGATTATTTAATATTTATACTTACAGTTTTATTTTATTTTCATTCTAGTCCAATGTAAATGATACTGAACATTTGTGGCAATAATAATATATTGATTGTTTTTGTTCAAACTTAGTTTAAAAATGTTATCGTGTACTAAACTTATCGTTTCTTTTTATTTTTGTTCTAATACATAGTATAAATGGCACTGAATATTTGTGGTAGTAATTATTTTTAGTTTTTTTATTGTTTAAATTTATAGATTAAAAAATTGTTTTGTAGTTTAATTTTGAAACCAAACTGCATGGCTTGTCGTTCTGATTATATTTTATACTTATCATTTTATTTGATTTTATTCTGATAAATTTTTAATACTATACTAATCTCGAAGTTTTATTAATATATAGGAAAGCAGGCATTTTTTCGAATAAAAGAAATTTTTTCGCAAAATTCGATTATTTCTTCTAATAAATATCGATTTTTCCCAAATCTATACTTAATATAATAAAGCGGAAGAGTTTTTTTGTTTTTTTGTTTGTTTAAACGCGCTAATCTCTGGAACTACCAGTCCGATTTGAAAAATTCTTTTTCTATATTGTAGCCAGATTCACGTGGAATAGTATAGGCTATCTAACATTAAGCTATATCACTCAGCTAGCCTAACATATGGATATTTGTTAAGCAAGTCAGAAGAAAAAGCACTCTCGAAATGATTTATCCGCGTACGCTTGTGTTATAGTCAGGGATACGTAAATACAATATTCTAGAAAAATATAGATCTTTACTCCGTCTAAAAAAAGTCCGCGATACCATATGTCTATTACATAAGCCATAATTAGGTATTTTATGACAAAAAATTATTGAAAATTAATAAAGTGATTTATGAGCGTTATTATTAGGCATGGCCTATTTATCCTTACAAACGAAAGTTACTTCATCATCAAGACAATTTTATGAAGATAAACTTTGTTCTTTATACCATGTTATTTGGACGCATAGTTTAAGAGATAATGTAAAATTAAAATAATTCAATACTTGGCTGGGCGCGCGAACGACACATAACCTTAGCCGCCCGGTGAGAACTGCGAGAACTGCTCAACCGGGAGGGGGAGGGAAAGTGAATAAAACTTAACTTCGCTCTGCATCATACATAATATGCCGACAGATAAAAGTACTCCATTAATTATGCCAAGTTTTCCTCCATCCATTGCTATCAAATATAATTGCAATTATAAAATGCTTGAGCTAGGTCATGTCGCACACCTCCAACACGTGATGACGCGGGTGAAACCGCGGGGCGCAGCTAGTCTATTAATATCACAAACCAAAAAATCGGTTTTTTAGTTATCGATTTTTTTCGCTCAATGTCACATCCGTACGGGCAGGGCACACAATACAAAACAGACCAGAAACAGTGTTACCAACTAGCAACTGCGAAAAATATTTAATTTACCCCTAAAGGTTAAATCAAAACCCCCTAAAACCACCCGATTTATTTAGAAATCTCTTAAAAATAAGTACAATGCATTGTAGTGTTCTTTATCAACAAATTATTAAATATTTCAAATATTATT